TTAATTTACAATATGACCATAGATAGGGGCAAACTTTCTGAATGCGGAAGTGCTTTATATGAATTTGTTCCAGCATTAGTTGTCGAATACGCTGACACAAGGAAAACAAGCACGAAATCAAAATTTAACATACGGCAGATCGTCGTCATATTTTCGCATTCTAAAATTCCGCGCTTGTTTATTTGTAATTGTTCATGCTGTACATCACCATCGTCACGTTACATACTACTCCCTATTACTATAAAATTCTCATACCTCCTTAAATCATTTCTCCCTTGCAAAGGTTAATAATAATAGTAATAATAATAATGTTCAAGCGGAAATCAGCTGCAACTCCGGTGCGTTCAAAAAGCCCACCATTGCTAGAAAAGCGACAGTACGTTGCGTCGCCGAGGTTTTACGAAATATTAGATTATTTTGCAGAAAAATTGAATGGTCAGTATGGGAAGAAATAAAAAGAGTGGTCGACTTGGATACTGATAAATTTTGCAGTCCCATTACAATTTAGCACCTTTATGAAGAAAAGATACAGTAAAGATCAGATTTCGGAGCCTCAGGATTTTGAGTAAGTAGAACGTGAAATGACCCGCTTTCAAATGTACAAAACAAGGAATTGGCGAAAGTGCATTTTAAAATAAGAATTGGATATCAATTATCCTTGTTCGTAATACTGCATGTCTCTCGAATAACGCATTTACGTATTTCCATGTATTCATTAGACATCTCATCCATTCTGAGAGTGAGCAAGATGCAGAGGCCGCCTTGAAAACCTTGTCAAGCAAGATTCCGGGTAAATTAATTTTGCATAATAAACAACTTTGTTATCACATTAACCGCCCGACCCCATTCACAAATACGCGTTACCATACACGTTTTCATATTTTAGGCACATATAAAAACTTGGCCAAGCAATTTCCCAATATCAAAGGAAATCGCAAATCACAAGCAATGGGAACAGTAGTAATACGAGATGTTCCAGATGAGTATATACATAGCTCAGAAACATCAGAAATCATTCCATCCGTTGAGACTGTTGAGAAATCAGCAGCTATTAAGATATATTTTGAAAATTACTTTTACGGAGTGCTCAAGAAGCCGTCGGGGCGAATGACGAGAAGGTTGTTGCTTGAGAATGAATTGGAAAAGATGACCATATCTGAGCAGGACAAACAGTGGATACGACAAGAATTACTTGATCTTGAATCCGACTATATGCGATTGCTTAGGAAAAGAGTTGCTATTAGTTCATTCAATATAGTCAAGACTATCGGTCATGGAGCATTTGGAGTGGTGAAACTGGTGCGGGAGAAAAGCAGTGGCAAATTGTACGCAATGAAGATGATGAGGAAGGCCGATATGTTGAAGAAAGGCCAGGAGGGACACGTGCGTGCAGAGAGAGACATACTCACTGCTGCCGCTGAAACAGCTCAGTGGATTGTCAAGTTGATCTATTCTTTTCAGGATGCTGATAATTTATACTTAGTTATGGAGTATATGGCTGGTGGTGATTTGCTAAACTTGCTGATTGAAAAGGATACATTTGAAGAAGATTTTGCCAAATTTTATGTTGCCGAGATGGTTTTGGCAATTGAAGAGGCGCATCGTCTTGGATATATCCACCGTGATGTTAAGGTGAACATTGTCGATATCGATACAAATTGGCTCAAAAACTTTTAAAATCCGCTAATTATATAACGTATGCTAACATTTAATTATTCCAATTATTCTTAACCAAATAACATGACAATAGCCTGATAATTTCTTGTTCGATTCAGATGGTCATATTAAACTGTCGGACTTTGGTCTCGCAACAGGTTTTCATTGGTCACATGATTCAGCATATTATGAACAACAACGTAAAGATCTCTTGCACAAGACCGGTATTGACATCGAAACTGACACTCTTACACGTATGATGGGCAAAAAGCATCGATCAGCGAGATGGTCTGAAGACTGGTCAGACGAGTTTGGTGATGATAAAGTACCCAATACAAGAATATTAACGTGGAGAGATAATCACAGGAGGAATCTAGCATTCTCTGTTGTAGGGACGAATAACTATATGGCTCCTGAAGTATTAAGAAATACTGGATATGATAGTAGATGTGATTGGTAAGTGATGAGTGAATCCGTCTCCTCCGCTTATTCTTTTAAACTGATATCTTGAAATGTTTTCATATATTATAGGTGGAGTCTAGGAGTAAGTCATTAATTACTTTGCGAAATGTTTTACTTTAATTTTAGTCACCTGTTGTAACGTTATTGAAATTTCTTTATAGGTGATAATTTTCGAAATGTTGTATGGATTTCCTCCATTCTGCTCTAAATCCAGACTTGCGACACGTCAAAAAATTGTCAATTGGCAACAAACATTACGTTTTCCAGCCCGTCCACACCTCTCCCATGAGGCGCAAGATCTAATTAAACGTCTGATCTGTGAGAAAGAAGATCGTCTATGCTCAAGTCCTTATGCTGCATCCACAAGACCAAATAGTCTTTATGCAGCCAACAGGAGGCCAGCTATGCTGGGAGCGAACGATGCATCTGAAATAAAGGCTCATCCTTGGTTCAAGGGCATAGATTGGGCAAATCTACATAATGTTATACCGCCGTTCAGGCCTAAATTGAAGAACGAGATTGATACAAGATATTTCGAAGAAATTGTTGATGATAACCCATTGGCCCCACCCGAAGGTGAAGTTGAGAGGAAGCCTAAGGATCCCTTACTAAGAGACAAACAACATGGAAACATTGTATTGAATACGAGAATGCAGAAGGCGTTCGCTGGCTATACTTTCCGCGGTTTACCATTAGAGAGACTAAGAGGTGGAATGGTTGAGCGCATCAAACAGAGAGCTGCTGGGAAAGAACAAAGGTTAAGGTCGAGGGCTATGAGTTTATAAATATTGGAAAAGACAGTTGACTTTCATTACAAGGACTTGTCGTTTTGGGATTGAGAATAGTCAATAGCATGTTTGTATATTGACAGTATATACATTAATTCACGTTCACTGGTCATTCCTGTAAATTATGTCATAATATCAATCGAGTTTTGTACGATATTAATTCTACAACCCACATTATAAATACAACGCAATTTCATGTCTCGAGAAATCTTTTCTTCTCATTTTAGTGCAAATTAGTCCAACGCGCCTAGTATTGTAGTCTGTCCAAAACGGCAGATATTTATCGTGGAAACTTGGATGGAAACTGATAACGAGCCTCGCATTTGTGAATGCGAGAGTCGTAAAGTCACATCGCCCGTCTTTATATCCAAAGGATGACTCATGTAAATAATAGTTTATCAATTGTAGTAATCGATTGCCGATTTCATTGGCGTTATCCAAACTTTCTGAATCCCATAATTTTTCACATGATATCCATATAAATGGTTTTATTTTAATATTGGAAATGAGTCAAGGAATAACTATCCGCTCCTTAAGACCTGACTAATATTGATAGGCGGTTTCATTTCTGAGGACATATTAATATACTCACAACATTCGAAATGCTCATTGTTTAGTTACTTTTTGTGCACCTCTATGTACGTAGTACCTCGAACAACTAAGATGATTCGAGAGTGTATTATTAATTGTAGCTTCTATTCGCTTTGATTAACGTCTCTTTTTAATTCTATGAATGATACAATCGTATAATTTCGTTAGGACAGGGTAATCGATTATGAGGAATATGCCACAACACATGGCAAAGACTTGGGAGCAATTCGCATACAATCTGCATTTAGCAAAAATTGATTGGTAATAGATGTTCGCATTGAAAATTGAAATTGACAGTCCGGGTCAACGTTTGCGGTGTGACTTTATTTGTTCAGTTTACACGAAGCAGGTATTAATTGAAACGTACGAAATAGCGAGCTGACCAGAGATGTTGATTTAACGTCACAAGAAAATCACTGATTAAGAACCTTAATTGCAAAGATAATGAGCGTGAATTTGAACGTAACAAATACGGAATGTGTTCATGTGCCGTAGCAGCGAACGAAATGTTAAGTGCAAGTGTCTAATATCACGTGTTCAAAGCACGCGTGAACTTGATAGTTGCGATCACTTATTACTGGACGTGCTTAACGTTAAAAACAACGCAATTCAGTAATTGTTTTCTTGCCCTATGAACCAAGTGAATCATTTAGAAATAGTAGCAAGAATGTAATCAAGTTGACCACACAAGCCTATCTGTATTTTACCATAGGCTTGAATTGATGTTTTATTTCCGAAACGTCGACCGGCTTAGTTTATATAAAATATTTAATTTTCTTTTTAATGATCAATTTAACAGTATCCGAGATGAAACTATAATTTCTCCTCTTACGATGACTGCAAACTGAGAGAAGATTAGCTAGTTGAGACATGTAAGACATCATGTTTAATACGTCAGCTATCGATAGTAAGCAGCGCGGAAGTCAGGTAACTTGTAAGGAGAGAGTGCCCTTAATCCAATGGGTGGTGATATAGAAGAGGTTGTATGGGACGTCCTATTTTAGCTGTTGAGAATGTAGATGTGATCACAATAATAAATTTTTATAGGAAGTTGGCCGGCGTACTTACGAGTCACGTCTTACAAGGTAAGAATCATTATTTTGAGTGACGCTAATTAATTTGCACGACCAACAATATTTCTATCGAAGTGTGACAGATGAACGTCTTGCAGGCGGATTTAAGTTAAGGTATTATTTGTGATTATCAAAAATCAAGATGAAATGGTTTTTCACACGGTTCAAACTATTACGAAAAGCATTATGCGACATAGAGCTTTTACCTTAGCAACGACAATAATTGTGCTAACATTTCATTGGAATGGCTTTTATGATAGACATCTTAACTGCCTCATTACATTTGATATTCTCAAGTATTTAAAGAGGTAATTAAAAGACGATGAGACTTTTATATAAGAACTAGACGAAGTAAAGCCCAAGACATAATGGGGCTAACAGAACGTAATCCTCATTCATGGCAACAAGTAACATTTTCTGGATTTTGACCTTAAAATTTGTAGTCATGGCCGTTTGTCATCAAAATTACTGCAAGAATCGTATAAAACATGACGCTCCCAATAGCGATTGTAGGTGCTGAAGACGCAGCTACAACCTTAATATCTGCACATTGATACCAACTTTCGTTCCCGTTGTTAGAGACATAATAAGCCTGCAGAACGCCTTGATCGCCAGCTTTAGCACTAGCCAAAGTCAAGTCCAACTGCGTAGTGATTTGTTTAGGATAAGTATCAGTCGTACTAAGCGTAATATTTGCTGTAGATGATTGAGGAGATGACATTTATGTACGAATGATTAGTTCCTATGTGGACGTAGCGTATTAACGAATATGACATTCAACAGAAGCTTACAGCAAACATTGGTAAAAGTGGCGTTACTGGTAAGAGCATATCTGTAAACAAAGTTTCCATCGCCATCTTCAAACTTGGAGGTTGCTTGTCCATCTATCAATATAGGCACGAGAGAAACATCAATTATTGAGACAATATTCCTATAACGGGTGAACAATCAATATTTCAACTTACTTAGAGGGAAGGTTGTGATGGCAGAAGTGTTGGTGCTGTTGTACGAGGCGCACGGAGAAATACTGAGCAAGTTCTCATCAAAAGGTCCTCGAGGAGGGGGGTTAAGTAGCTCAAAATGTGCTTCGACGTCTGAGAGAACAAAAAGCGTAACAATGAAAAAGACAATTTTGACTGTATACTTCATGTTAAACTAGTTTCTGTTACGTGTGAATTTGGAAGATTCCGATTGCTCCCTGGAGGATCGCAAGGCTCGTTAAAGTATCACTTATATATGAAATTGCTAGTGTCACATTACTACGACAATCGATCTCTTTAATCAAAGTTTGAGTATGAAAGTTGTATAACCTTCCTCAATCTTTATGATCGTGCTGATTAAACTTGATCACCTAATCAATCGGAAATAAGTTTAACCTTCAATTTTGTAACACGGTCATCTAAATGTATCACTACATGCATGTATTCATGGCCAAACTTTACCAGCAAAGTGAACATTGGACCTTAGTACAAGCTGACGGGCTTCTGACGTGCACTTAGGGAAGGGATATCCAATCATGTTACGATACGAAGATAACCAATAATATTGCTCATATGAGTTTATGCTATACAGTTGAACCCCGTTATACCGAAGGCACGTGGGGAGCACCTATAGTTCGTTATAATGAGGAATTCGGTAAAACGAACACTCCCTTTGTAACGAAGTCTAGCCTAAAGTCAAATAATATTCGGTATATTGAGGTTTTCACAAACTATGTTTATTAGTTGCAGAATAAATACCAGTATACAGAAAGAATAAATAATTCGAACTAATCAGTAAAAAAAGAATCTATTCTAGATTGCTTTTTGCTTGTAAGACTATATAACTCCACCTTCCTTTTCAATGAGCGAAAGACTTTAAGTTCATTATAATCTATTTCCATACTGCCTTGTTGGAGGAAATTAAATGCTGTTTCAAATGCAGTCATGGCATCTTTAGTCAAGACAGCAGGAAGACATGGCGAATTACTTTCATTGTCGTCTTCTGTAGAAGAAAATAAAGAAACAATTTCCTCATCTGTCACCATATCGTTGTTTGGGGCTTTTTCATCGAATAATAACTGAATTAACACAAAAACCGCTTCTGGCATACAAGCGATGCGATGACAGAATATTCATATTAATATCATGCAAAATCATGATTGTATGAAACAATTTTGATCAGCCGTATTAGTATGACAAATTTTATAATCGATATAACCAATCACCATGCTAAATTTTATATCACGTGATTAACCTCGGTATAAAGCGACTAGTACAATAGACAAAAATCCTGCCCTTGAACTTCGGTAACGGAATAACGAGGTTTACTATTAAAATTCGTAATAACGATCAATTTTAAACATTGAAAAAAAGGGGGAGAAACATTTGCTTCGGTATAGCAAAAATTCGGTATAACGCATTTCGGTATAACGGGGTTCGACTGTACTGCAATCGCCAGACTGTCTTATTTATTGTCTTTAACGCATAATCAATGTCCATCGTCTGATATAACTACTATATATAGTAATACTAATAAAACTATCCTAAAACATCGGTCCGCAATTGATAGACTGTGCCGTATTCGACAGATTAATGTCACTATATCACAGACATCACGAAAAATTTTATTATAAAAGGCTAATTACATGACGTGCATTTAGGGGTGAACTATAATAATATATGCCACCGAATAAAAATGTGCAACAAATTAATAGGCCGGACCCAGTGTTAATCATGCATTTGGAGAGGATTGCACTTGGAGGGAAGGTTGCACTTACGGAGGCCCCACTGTATATGAAACGCGTATTTCATATCATATCCTTAACGATTATTATATGATTTATAGAGTGTTCTATTTTTTTTATCAATATGAGTAACGATATTATAAGACACCATATTTACTGATTATAATATGTGTAGGAATCCACTGAAAGCAGTAATTTACGAGACCTATTAGATTTGATTAAGTAAATATCGTGATTACAAACCGGGTGTTTTAGATTATTATTTGTATCGCAGAAATCTGACTCTAATTTCACATCACGTGGACAACTTTTTTTCATAATGAGTGCGTGACTTTTGGTCACACCGTACAAGAAAAAATAAAATGAATTCTTCGCGAATAGTTTGTGATGTTCCGCTAACTGCTTGACAATTAAACCATTTTTTGTTCATCCGTTTGAAATCCGCTAATTTGTATAACGGCAAGGTTGACCCGCGTCTTGTTCAAGATTGCAATTGCGAGTGTTTCTAACGCGTTAGTTTAGTCAACCTCAACAGATAGACTACTGACCTAATCCAGCGGTAGATAATTGTATCCAAACTCGAAAATAATTAACATCGAAGATTAGTGTCCTTATGCTTGATATTAAGATCCGAGCTCAGGTAAAAGCCTATCAACTGTTAGTCATAAGGTTAGCTACGCCACGCACTGACGGCAAATAGCTAAATCCTTAACCGAGTCAGCTCTTGACTCGACAGTGAACTAGTGTAATCGAAATGGTAAAAAAAAGCTGTTTTTACTGCAATTACTTTAAATTCATCTTTTGAAAGTTTGTATGCTGCAACTCGTTAGTGCAGGACAGAATTGTTAGTTTGGAATGGGCCTAACTAAATCACAGAACTGCCAGGGACCGCATTACAGTTTACGGTACCATTCACACCATCTACACCCTGGTCCTAGGATGGGAATCAGAACGTCGAAATTAAAGACTCTGGATATTACCATCAAAGCATCTTTTTCCAAAAAGAAACTAAAGCAAATCTACTACAAAGGAAAATATCTGCCTGTATTATATGTACATCTGAATAAATCATCAAGTGGAGTGTCAAGAAATTTTATTTTTTAAAACTGTAAATTATCATTTACATGTAACATCTTCGCACTTATGTAACAAAAACCAAATAATTTGTACAATTATAAACCTAGCATTTGCGCAAGTCTGGATGTACTGGATTTGTAAAGGTGGAGTAGAAGAAAGCCCGTGACGTATATATTTTTTGCAAGTTCAGATAATGTTGCTATAAATTCAAATATATATTGAAATGTTAAAACAATAAAATAACTTGAAAATTTGTGAGAAAAGTGTAACATACCTCTAGTGCTACAAAATGAGCAAAGTTGGATTCCACCAATGATAAACTAGGCTCATCAATTACCAATCTGGTTCTATGCAATGACCATAATCAATATATCCCATCAATTTGAGATGTGTTTGCACAATGTTAGCCGCAATTAGTAAAAAAAAAAGTAGCATATTTATAACCTACTATTATAATAAAAACAATATTTATAATGAAGTATTACTGCTTTTCCTGGACCACCCTCTGAGTTTAATTGATGGTTATTGCCTTTCTGGCTTTGCAGATGAGCTTTTATGAAGTCTTTTGTCTTCTCAAAGGACCACATACACATTATGATGGCTTAATTTCAGAAACCAAAAAAGGAACACCACTGACTGTGCGTGAAGTATCAGGTCATTTTCTTGTGCTATTTACCATTGACACATTGATTTAATCGCACTTCATAGTCTTTGTTTCTTGACAAGAAAATGGGACATGTGTAGGGAGTCAAAAATTGACAACAGTGTCTATTCTCAAATATTAATATTTTGTGTGGTGCAATATTTGGTACATTATTACGCCTAAATAATTTTATAAATAAATCTAATAATAATAAACAGAACAAAACAAAACAAAACAAAACAAAGACAACCATTAAAGGTTTGTGCAGTAGCTCTGCTCAAGGAAGTCTTGTCTGCATCCATATAACTGTCTTGGCCTGATAGATGCTTTATTATTATTGCTACTTTACATAATAATAAAGTTGCTGACACAGGAGCTGGTATCACTGGCTTGTGGATTGCATATTAATATGGGTTTGTCTTTATTATTGTTTATCACTCTTGACTTGTAAAGGTGGGATAAGGACAGCTCTGCTCCAGCATAATTATGGATAATAATGCTCTAAACCCAATACAAAAAAAATGTGGGTATGTGAGTATAGTGTAATTCCAAACTTATATATAAATATCACAAAACTTACAGAATCTCATACTCATCCTTCCAGGTCGGTCTAGTTGTCTTTGGCATTTCAAGGACCTCTTTCTGATAATATAAATAATAACTAGTGTATAACCCGTCACTTCGTTGACAGTGTGGTTATTTTATATTTTACATTTATACTTTTATTTCGCTAACG